CATATGCATTAGTCTATTGTTAATTCGAATCTGTCAGAAAACAATCAACTGGCCCCCGATAAAAGGGCTAATATGCTTGTCAAACGCTCCATTCGCCCCTAAATTGAGCGTACAGTACAGACTACCAGGAACACCAACATGGAACTCCATTTGGCAGTGCACGACGATCGCCACATCAAGCGGCCGCTCAATTCGTTCATGGTGTGGGCCAAAGGGAGAAGACGGGAAATGAACCGAGACAACCCCAAAATGCGCAACGCAGAAATCAGCAAAATCCTGGGCGAGGAGTGGCGGCAGTTATCTGACGAGGTGAAAAAGCCTTTCGTTGAAGAGGCCATTCGCCTTCGACGCCAGCACAAGATCGACCACCCAAACTACAGATACAGGCCACGACGAAAGAACCGCATGGAAGGCAACGGCGAGATCGTGCAAGGTGACGGATTCCGTCAACCGTTCGCTCTGTACCCGAACTCTGGCGCGCCGCCGTCCGCCGGTTTCCTGGCCCATTCCTTGCCACAGGATTACAAATCGGCAATGTTTCCACCGAGGTATTCCCATCACGAGAAGCACGGTTACGCAAGCGAGCACGTTTCCAAGACCAGCAACGTTTCCACCAGTTACCTGTCGCCTTTTTCAGTTCGGCCATCAGAGGTCCCGTCTTGGAATGGCTACCTGTCCCCCGCCACATCACCATATTACTTCGAAACACCTCGCTTCACCATACCTTGCGAAAGTCCTGTTCGAGCAATCCACCCAGGGAGCATTCCTCAAGTTAAAGAGAAGTTGCCCAGCCCTGGAAGCCCAAGCATGGCCAGGAACCATACTAGCTGGCCGTATTTTGCCCTGAAGGCTGAACTACAATACACCTAAACACACTTTTCTCTTTTGTTCAACGCAAACACGAGGAGTTTTCTTAAGTGACTCTAACGCCATCAAGGACAAAAAAGACGTGTACTACATACTTTTTTTCTTATACATAATTTTTTTTGTCAAATTATTTTTCAAAGTTGTGCGATGTCATTTATTTGAGTTTTTAACTTGAACTTTCTAGTACAGTGCAAATACGCTGTTCAAATATTGTAATTTCTTTGTTGATCTGTGTTTGTTTTGATAATAAAACTTGAAATGAGTTTTACTGAAATGAAAAGTGTACACATTTTCTATTTGCATTGCACTTGCTACAGATTTAGAATGGCAGTGTTAATTTTCGATAGAATTAATGTAATCTGTGCGAAATCCCTTGTAGACATCCCTCGGAGTGTGTTCATTACTTGACGAAAATAATATCAACTTATTCCGCGAGATTAACTTTTCTAAATATTTTGCATCAGTAAATGGTACGTTTTCCCTGCTTGGAACAAGCACCAGCTGATTATTCGGGCAAAATATCACATCATTTCATTTGCCACATTTGCGTTTTCAATGTGCGAAAATCGTCACCGACCGTGAGAACTTTTATCTTATAAACCTATTGAGTAAACGTTGGTGTCAAAAATCTTTGTCCAAAACAATACAGCACGTGGGATTATTGTTAATTGGTTTTAGCTTGCCGCAAGTCCGCTAAAATGAAAGGTTTCTCTTTTTTTATCGGTCCAATTGAGCTGGTTTACAATAGCAGAAAGCCAGCTTTCAAAGTTACACATGATTTGAAAAGCTTCGTCTGTTTGAAAGGTTCCTCACTAAGTTCCAGTCCAACGTAAACATAAGTTATGTGTGTTCATAAAACGCTTGGTTGCTTTCGGGTGTGCATTTACACCTTAAACACGTTAATATGTACGCTGATTGAGAACATTTGATGGTTTAGAAGCTCACTTAAAGCTTGAAAGTAACAAAAACCCGCACATCAAAGAGAATGTGCCAATATTAGTTTGACATGTATAGACATTCAAAGGGTCGCACAAAAAAAGGCTTAAACAAAAGTTGTATATCGTTTGTGCTTAATTCTAGACGATTAGCATTAGTCTTCTGCACGGAAACCAAATGAGGCGAAAATAAGACCAGAGCCACCTTCTTTTTTCGTCACAGTAATGCTCAAATGTTCAGTTTAATCCAATTTCAAGACAAGCATTTCGCTGACGAGAAGAAATTGAAAACTTTCCACCAAATTAAATGATGGAGTTTTTGTATGCAGACCATTGATGATGTATGGCTTTTGTTTTCGGAATCCGAGTATTTTTTTTCAATGAGGAAAAAAAAAAAAACTCACTCACCACTTAAGCAATCTCAAACCGATAAGATTTTGGCGAGAAAATCGCGGTTTGTCAGAGGGTTTGGTACTGACTGATATGTCCGCGTTGGATAATGTTTAGATAGTCATACCGGTTCCAGTTTTCCAGCTCATAGTCAACTGAATCCTTTCTTTGCTGCTTGAAAACACACAACAATCTGACCACCTGGAAAACAACTTTTACTTTTGGTGTCGAGTATTTGTGCTATCGATAGTATAAGTTTATTTTATAGAACTACATGTAGAGGAGGCGTGTATTACAAGCCGTAAACGTTGCTTGTTTAGTTCTAAAAACAGTAAATCAAGTGTAGATAATCGCGCTTTCAAGTCGCTTTTACTAGTAATTGACAATAAAAAGGAAGAACCGTTGCGTGAAATACTCTTTAAGACAAATTTACGCTTAAAGGAGCTTCTTTTACAGCTTCCGTGCAAGCTCGCTTCACATAATTTGTTGCGCTTTTGTTATGGCCTTCAAGCAATACCGTTTCGTTTTTTTCGTTCATTTCCACGCGGCGTCTACATGTGGACATGCAAAGTATGTTTTTAAGACGTCTTTGTTCCCCTGAGGGAGGCCAAATCAATTCCAGGTATTAAAATTTAAATACACGTCCAGAATATTCGGTAATTGTGCGAGAGGAAGCAAAAACGTGGAAAGCATATGAAAGAAGTATGCGGTTATTCTTCGAAAGTAACTACGGTTCGCGAAAATCACATTCAAATAGAAAAGAGAAGCAAGAAAAAAGCCTGTACAGATGCTCGGTTAAAACGCAGTTTGTGCAAATTGAAGAACGTTATATGTCAAATAGATAGAGTAATCTCTCGATCAATATTTCAAATTTCGTTTCGCGCAGGAGGGCCTTGGGAGAACCAGAAGATAAAAGAGAAATGCATGTGGCTTTTCTGAAAGAAATTGAATAGAAGCTTTACTTTTTACAAAAGATTTTTTTCAAAAGTGACGTAGGAAGTGTCTCGCACAAAGAAGCCTCGTGTTTGCTTTTAATAATTTTTTGTTGTTGTTGTTTTTATGAGAAAAATCAAAGCAGAAAAATCACCGATGCTGCGTCGTTAATAGAAGTTAATTAATTTTGGACACGATTCGCCAATGGATTAACAAAAAAATAAAACATTTACGGTCGCTGGGTGTGTGTTTAGAAGCGTTTGGTGAATTAGCAATATATGGCCTTGAATAAATATTGACATTAAAAATGTTGGAATTAATTAATAGTGATGTGGCACATAGAGAATTAGCCCATTTCAATTTGTTCGATACCGCTAAATCCCTTACTCCCCTAAAATACATTTTAAATTTTTTTTCGGCGTCGCTAAGCTTTATTTCGACTCATAATTGTATAGTGATACAATGATCCATTTAAGGAAAGGTTGGTTCGGGAAATCCGAAAAGGCCAAACAGATTTCAACGTTTTTTTCATAACATTAAATGAAAGGTGACATTTTAAACCATGCGTTAATCTTTGCGAAGCCGACATTACAGTTCTCTTTGCATAAACCAGAAAAAGAAAAGTGCCTTATTATTTTATATGATACTTTGTTTTGTGGAACCAAAGACCAGATTCAATGCTCGTCAAAGTTTACGACCAAATCTTCCTTGTCGCTACATATTATTCTCTTGGTAAGAATTTAACGCTTATTGAAGGCCTTAAATTTTATCGAAAATTGCTTTTCGCCGATTTCCTGTCGGTATATAAGTGGGAGAATTTTGAATCTTTGTCAAATGAAAGCCTATATATGCTTTTTACAACTCCGGTTATTTTGATCCGTCTAGCAAAAACAGGAGTTGTGTGTTTAGGTTTCCACGACATGCATGTCAGGCCACAAAACGAAAACTTAATGGAGAAAAATTGGAAACGATTTTTGAACAGTTGGCCTGACATAAAAAGAAAATTATTTCATTCACTACGCGTGATATTCAAGCATATTCAATGACTTATTTTATAGTATTTTCTTATGTTTGCTTGATAATAATTGTTCTAAATTGGATCGGTTGAAGATATAGTCAAAAATGTGGTTAGTTTGTTATCAGTAAACAGTTAAAATTTGTGATGAAAATCAATCAAATTTATTTACAATCACATCAAAGAAATGGCCATTAACTTGATCAAAACAAAGTAGTGGAAATTATAATTATGATCGTCGCATTCAGTTAAAAAATTCGTAATCAAGTCTTAAAATCAATTAGCAGGTTTGAGAAAAACAGCTATAAAATTGATAACCTGTAAAATCGATAAAGCCTAAAGGCGAATTTTAGATGAAATTACCATCTTTGCTTAAGGAAAACATAATGTTTAATTGTCAGCTTTTAAGATTTTTTTTATATTAATGGTGCTCATTAAGTTAGTTTTGCATTTAAACGTGCTTTGTCAATGATTTAGACTAAAAGGTTTACATTCATCTCATTTTTTGATTGACTGGTACATCTATTCGCTATTTATGTCAAAAACTAAGTTAGAAATCACAGTATTTTGCAGAGCGATTTCACGAAAAGAAAAGAAAGAAAAACAGGGCAAATCAGCCTACAACAAACCACTTATTCTGTCGTCTCCTTTTATAAACCTATTTGTTTCTTATTCGATCAGTTCTGGGTATAAAAGAGAAACAGCAAACCTTTAGAGATCTTTAAAAATCACCTAAGCTGTTTGCAGTTTGTCAATATATATATATATATATATATNCCAGGAACACCAACATGGAACTCCATTTGGCAGTGCACGACGATCGCCACATCAAGCGGCCGCTCAATTCGTTCATGGTGTGGGCCAAAGGGAGAAGACGGGAAATGAACCGAGACAACCCCAAAATGCGCAACGCAGAAATCAGCAAAATCCTGGGCGAGGAGTGGCGGCAGTTATCTGACGAGGTGAAAAAGCCTTTCGTTGAAGAGGCCATTCGCCTTCGACGCCAGCACAAGATCGACCACCCAAACTACAGATACAGGCCACGACGAAAGAACCGCATGGAAGGCAACGGCGAGATCGTGCAAGGTGACGGATTCCGTCAACCGTTCGCTCTGTACCCGAACTCTGGCGCGCCGCCGTCCGCCGGTTTCCTGGCCCATTCCTTGCCACAGGATTACAAATCGGCAATGTTTCCACCGAGGTATTCCCATCACGAGAAGCACGGTTACGCAAGCGAGCACGTTTCCAAGACCAGCAACGTTTCCACCAGTTACCTGTCGCCTTTTTCAGTTCGGCCATCAGAGGTCCCGTCTTGGAATGGCTACCTGTCCCCCGCCACATCACCATATTACTTCGAAACACCTCGCTTCACCATACCTTGCGAAAGTCCTGTTCGAGCAATCCACCCAGGGAGCATTCCTCAAGTTAAAGAGAAGTTGCCCAGCCCTGGAAGCCCAAGCATGGCCAGGAACCATACTAGCTGGCCGTATTTTGCCCTGAAGGCTGAACTACAATACACCTAAACACACTTTTCTCTTTTGTTCAACGCAAACACGAGGAGTTTTCTTAAGTGACTCTAACGCCATCAAGGACAAAAAAGACGTGTACTACATACTTTTTTTCTTATACATAATTTTTTTTGTCAAATTATTTTTCAAAGTTGTGCGATGTCATTTATTTGAGTTTTTAACTTGAACTTTCTAGTACAGTGCAAATACGCTGTTCAAATATTGTAATTTCTTTGTTGATCTGTGTTTGTTTTGATAATAAAACTTGAAATGAGTTTTACTGAAATGAAAAG